TCTCTGGTTGAAAATTCGGCAAACAAGAATTAAAATTTCATTGGTTTAATGTTTAAACGCCTTTTTGAACGGTACTAAATATGGTTTGGAACGTTAGTGGGGGTTTAAGGTAAACTCGCTAGAACGAAGACATGTACCATTAAACGTAGTGATTTTGCACACAGCTAATGTCGGGTACCCGATTCTTCGGTACCCGGCAAAATCTCTATCCGATGCATCTCTAGCCTCTCAGCGTAAAGCTAATATGGATTAGGATCCGGCCAGGTACCGGATAATGATTCCGTTTCAACGATTTCAACTCATTTCTCTGGTTGAAAATTCGGCAAACAAGAATTAAAATTTCATTGGTTTAAACGTTTAAACGACTTTTTGAAAGGGACTTAATGTGGTACATGTACCCGCTTATTCGGTACCCAGGAAAAGCTCTATCCGGTGCATCTCTAGCCTCTCAGCATAAAGCTTGTTTCTTCAATAGATATGGAATAGGATCCGGTCAGGTACCGGATAATGATACCGTTTCAACGGTTTCAACTCATCCCTCTCATTGAAAATCCGCCAACCAACAATTAAAATTTCATTGGTTTAATGTTTAAAGGACTTTTTGAATAGGACTTAATGTGGTTTGAGACGTTGGAGTTTAATAGAAAGCTCGCCAGAACGAACACATGTACAATTAAACATAGTGGTTTTGCACGCAGCTAATGTCAGGTACCCGCTTATCCGGTACCCAGCAAAAGCTCTATCGGATGCATCTCTAGCCTCTCAGCGTAAGGCATATTTCTTCAGTAGATATGGAATAGGATCCGGTCAGGTACCGGATAGTGATGCCGTTTCAACGGTTTCAACTCAACCCTCTCATTGAAAATCCGCCAACCAACAATTAAATTTTCATTGGTTTAATGTTTAAACGACTTTTTAACAGGACTTGATGTGGTATGAGACGTTGGTGTTTAATAGAAAGCTCGCCAGAACGAAGACATGTACCATTAAACGTAGGGGTTTTGAACAGAGCTTATGTCAGGTACCCGCTTATCCGGTACCCGGCAAAAGCTCTATCCGGTGCATCTCTAGCCTCTCAGCGTAAAGCTTATTCCTTCAGTAGGTATACGAAATGTGCGCAGCTTTCGTAAAATGATCAATTATACTAGAAAGTTTCCTTTACGGTATATATATATATGAAGTAATGTAGAATATTTTTGTGGGTTGTGGTTATGAAAATACCTACTCATAGTTCGTAGTTAGAAACTTCTTTTGGCTTATTTACCTGATAAGGTTTATTATGTCGAACAGGGCCAATAAAAGATATCGTTTTGTGTGTAATAGAATTTTAATGGCGTAGTCGAACCGGAGGCAAAGAAGGTAAAATCGAGTCGTGCTAGGTATTAATTTCTCTCAATTCTCCGGGGTCTTTTAAGCTTCTAGAAATTTAAAATGTCGCGCACCATGGACCGCAAGCTCGTCGTTATAATGGCGGAACTCACTGCTGCTAACTTATTAATTCCCGGGAGAACTTTTTGCTTAGCATTTTTATTTAATCTGAGCGCCGTTTTATTATCATAAAACATTCCGCATTTTTGTAAATTAAATCCTTCCGTCCGCGCTATCCGACGACGTAGAACGACGCCACCGGCTGCATCGGGACGGCGCGGTCGTGCTGCGTCGCATACTTTGATGTCACTAAATAAATAAAACGGGGGTTTTTCAGGCAGTTACTGGGCCGTCGCGGCTCCACTTCATTAACTGAAAGGAGACCTCCGAGATTAGAAAAAGTTCACTTTAACCAAGGAATTTTTAGCCGTCTTGTGCTCCAAATGTCGTTACTTTTTAAATACCTTAAACCGTAATGAGTGTCGTAATTTTTTGTTAGTGCCTTTTGACAAAAGGAAATAGAAAATAAAAAAAAATTGCCTCCTCCTTTATTTAATTTTTCATTCACTTTCATTTCATATTCCTTTTACTTTCAACATAGAGGAGTATCTACACGCGCCTTTTACAAACATTTAAAACTTTTATGTACCTTTACTTGTGACTCCGTCATTCCTAGTGCGTAGGCAAGCTTCGCTCGTTCAGGACCTGCTAAATATTTCGTCTGTTCGAAGGTTTTTTCAAGGGCAAAAATTTGTTGACCAGAAAACGTAGGCCTCGTGTGCTTCTTTTTTGCATCCTTTTCAGGTCCAACACCTCCTAAACTTCCTTGATTCACTGAAACAAAGCAAAAAGCATTATAAAGCTGCGGATATATATATATGTACCTAATAAGTTTTCCGTTGCCAAACGGCTATTTGGTAAATCAATAACTGAAATATTTTGGTCCTTAAAAAGACCCTAGGGAAGTCACCACCCTAACGGTGGACCACAATCGCAACCTGACACATCCCCTGTCTCACTTAGTTAGCTGCGTTAGCACATGGACTATTAGTTTTCATTAGAACCCTCTCACTAAGAAACATTTCATTCCCCAGAAACTAATAATTAATTAAAATAAATTAAACTACACGCACTTGCACATTTATTCAAATATTTATTCATAATTAATGAAGAGATTTGTAAGCATATGTACTTAAGAAGGATAATTGACTATCGATTTTATGACAAACCGTAATAAAAAAGTTTGCTGCATCAAATAAAGGATTGTGGCGGACAGTGTTTTCTTGGTATTTAAATAATATACACCAAAAGACACGAAAGGATAATTACAGTTTCTTTACTATAGACTCAGTCATAGTCCTAAAAGATTCTGAAATTGCCAAGAAGAAAATATTGAAATATGTTTAAAAATTGTTGACTTATATGATGCTTTAGAGTTTAAAGATACTTTTCCGCCATTTGCCATTGTCAGTGCTAGTGACGTCACGCGGAATGACCCTAAAGCGGATGCAATCTCATTCACTTGACTACCGTTGTGTATATTTAGAAATATTCCTTAATACCTAGATATATTCCTTCTCTTCCTTTATAATATCAAATTAATGTATCTATAGTAAGTTGATTTAAGCTTTCACGACTATCTGAAGATACTGGATTTTCGGATTCTAACCGCGTCTTATTGATGAAATCCGCAAGTGCTCAACTTTTTCTTTCCTCTCACAAGAGACATCCTTAAGAACATCACGTTGTGGATTCAGGATCTGCAACGTTGGTCACGAAACATACAATTTTGTGGCGTCAAAGGTGTTCTACGCTACCATGATCCGTCATGGGGGTTTCATCAATAAGATGCGATTAGAATCCGAAACAATATATAATAATAGTAACTTTTTTCGAAATTCCTTCTACAAAAAACTTGCAGTTTGTAGGTATATTATACTTAAAATATGCCTAAGTGCTATCAACACCTTTGTCCAAAAGTAGGTAGGTACTTTAAAAATTCTTGATTATCATTTCTATATGGTATCTATATGCTATTTTATTGGATTCTCAAATCATACACATTACATAAGAAGTAATTAATTGTAATTATCCTTATTGTCATTAAGTGATACAGTTATTGATATTTTAGTCAAGAATACACTTCCCAATTAGAAAAAATTAATTTGCTCATAACACCTCTTTGGAAATGTGTTTCATAATTTAAACTTTTGAAAAGCACGGACTGTTTGTCTTAATCAAATTTTGGAATGTTACGAATGCTAAGTACAATTTTATAATGTGGCAGTGCATTTTGTTGAAGTCGGTTTTTGCGGCACGTTTGGAGTCTTGTACACACTCTGTTCTGACGCCATTCATATATGAAGCTGCCAGTTGTGGTAAAACGGTTTCCGAGTCGGGCGTAACACGTGTTTAAGAGCAGGATGAAGAGATTGATATAATATAGCGATTTCCAACCAAATTCAGTATTCCGAATGCATACGCGCCTTCACACTTCGTTTCTTTGTTGTTTGATCTCAGTTATAAAGCAATATTTTGGAAATTCAGACGAAATGTAACAGAATACATTTTGAAACGTTTTGAAATTTTGATAAACTTTGTAATATTGAAAGAAAAAAAAGTCTGTTTAATATGTTGTATGTGTATTTAAATGAATGATTTAAATGCTGGTATGTCGCCAAAGGGAGACATCGTCAACGTACGGATTACGGATAAAGAAATACGAAGGATTGTTGGGAAAAATCCCTTAATAATTTAGAGCGAAGCGTTTCCCTCAATGTTATGTGCTATGACGAGCGTTTTGTGTCATCAGGGATTGCCTTTAATCCCGTAGTAAAAAACACTTGCAGGAAAAACGCGAGTGTGTACGATTTACATAATGTCAGGGGCCGTATTTATGTTATTTTTATTTGTAATCTCGGCTATATAACCGGCTTTCCAGATACTCCCCAAAATTTGTGTCTCCTCAGCTGCCATGTTCGTTTTACTCTCTCTTTTTCTACAATATAAATTTAGAAAAATTAACTTCTTCAACACAAAAATGAAGCATTACACCATCTACTTTATTTCGTAGAACACATGTCAACTCTTACAACTAGCGTTGCTGCTTACAAACGAATTTAGCCAAAAAAATATATAAATTGGATTCAGTTAAGTTTTTCACGCATTCAGCAAATTATTTTAGTTGCGTTCAGTTACGTTTTAAACATCATATGCGTATGTACCTAGGAGTAAGTTTTTACGCATTTAGCCAATAATTTCATTTGCTTTCGTTTCGAAAATCATAAGCAAGCACATTTGAAGAGTAAATCGAAGAGCATATCGATTGGGAGTGTTTGAAAGTATCGATAGCAGAAATAATAAAGCGAAAGCCTTTTTGTCACCGGGATACAATGTGTAGCGGGAAAGAAAATTATAGTCAGCAGGTGCGCAATATAACAGGAATAAGAAATGTATAGACCGTACCGTGGAAGATGCTTTCAAAGCAACCAATATACTTTTATATACCAAAGATTCTACATTGAATAGCCAGATGTCTATATAATAATCTATATATGCTGACAACGCAGGATGTAGCGTTAGATAGCCGCCCAGGGACGTATAAAGTCGGAACAAATTCAATAATGCCGCATCTATCGCTTCGGGCCAGTGTGTGATCGTTGCGTCATCGAAACATTCTTTTAGGATTGTTACACATAAATATATCCCGGATGATAAAACGTGTCGACACTTAATATTGATAATCCACCGGCATCCAATATTCTTTCATAACCTATTCCTCTACCTATACGAACGCGAAATTTGGATTTGGATGAACACGGCTTTTCCTGATGATGTGTCTACCAACTTTAGTCCAATCCACTAACTGATCCAACGAGAAATTGCTTACATAGATACATAGTTTTTACTTTACCAAAAAAAATTGTTTCTGTCTTTCTTATCTGCTTGCACGTATTTATGTATATTATTCTACATTCTACTTGCTGAAGTAATGCCGAATTGTTATTCTTATTAGATACTTATTACAGCAATTCAATAAAAATCGCTTTGTATATGAACCAGTATCGATTCAATAATTTTTTTATCCCGGTCGAATGGGGATGAGTTAGGATAACAGCAAGTAAACAATTTGGACGAAAGTGCCGAAACGTCGAAGATCGAGAGAAATTCATCAAGGCCAGACATTCTCCTCATCTTGTATACGATAACGACGAATGTAAGTGAGTGTAAACAGTGAGATAAGAGAGACGGCGATATGCTAAAGTGGATAATCTCTCGATTCTGTTATCTGGAGGTGTAATTATTCTAACGCGCGCGGCACGGCTTCTTCATCCTTTAAAACAGCTTGCTCGATGCGAAGGCGGCTGCGCCCGTCGTCCTCCTTGACGCTCGTTGCTTAGCAACCGCCTCCAGCAACCGCAGAAATACTGCTACAATGTAGATGCTTGTTCTACACGACACGCACAACGCTCCTCGGCTATGGAAGATGGATCATCATGATAACAATCACCCCCGAGCGTCGGTGGCTGTTGCCGTCGCGGCGGCGTGGCTGTGGCAACCTCGACGACGGCCGGCTTCGGGACGCCTTTCTGTAGGTAATGCCGAAGGACCAGAAACATTTGCATTCTTAACTCTTTAATATGAGATAGAGGCACACATTTTTCGGATTTATTTCGTGTAATCCTTCGGGAAAAACCCGCACACGACCGATCTCTGTTCAGAAATCTTCCTGAGCACATATCATTATCCCAAAACCTCTTTCATTTGTGTACGTAAATTCCTCAACCAGTATATCAATAAATAATCAAAGGTTATACTTAGGATCAAGACGAAACTGACTCCAGGACGATTCTGGTGCAGTGCTACTGGGACGACAGTTGAATTACAAAACGGACAAACGTTTAATAAATTAAACAAATTCGTAAAACTAGCTGCAACAGTTTAGATTCCAAGTTGTTTGAGTTTTGGAATTTGTATATTAGGCTGATGATAATGTTGCAGAGGAGTTGAGTGTCAGAAGTGCTCAGTTAGTTAACTATGGCCGTAAAAGAGCGGGGCAAAATAAAGTTTTGATTACGCTACAACGTTGGACGATGGCCGTATAACACACATCTCCGCCGAGCAGTTAATTAAAGCCAGAATAAGGCAAGCGGCCATACGATGAAGGGTGAAACTGATGCGAATCGTCAGCGAACGCGGATAACAATCGACACAATGATCGCCCCCGTGAACGTTGCTGCTAACGGACAACTTCTCTAATTGAAGGCCATAGTGCTAAATTACGTGTTCATTGCCGCAGCATTTATGACCCGAACCAGGGACGGAATTAGGTAGATATACACACATACACACACACATGAACGAAAATCCCCCTGATCGTTAACCATTCCGAATTACCCGTCACGAATTTCCTGCCAACAACACTAAACACTATAATACGTGTAAATACTCATCATCAGTTAATATATCTAATATTATATACTAGCAAAGAAACAAGTTCGTTATTGTTGTCGAAAGCTCGTCCCTTTCGAAGCTTTTCTTTTCTGCAGATTTTCGCGAAACATTTTCCTCATCTTTCAAACAACGTTAATTAAAATGCAAACTAGAAACATTACGCGTTTAACATGTACATATATCTATCTATAAATATACATGTGTGCATAAAATAATAGATTAAACGAATAATTGTTGTGATGCAGTTCCGACGATATATCTATAGATAATAATTTGTTTATCGGAATAATAATTCGTGGTATAATTTGAGTAATACCTCTGTTTTATCGCGTAATTATTGTTGCTTATAATACCACTGTCATTAGGTGAGCAATAAAATTGATTTTCCCTGCGACACAAGCGATATTATCAGCTGCTGACATATGTTCAGATTATGAGGTAATTATACTGCCGTAATCGCAATTCTCAAGTGGGCCCTGTGATACGTACGTCTGTGCAAGTACATGAGTGATGTTAGCATCAATTTATGGGTTGCTACGTTCACTAGGTACCATATCACTATCAATATAGAGGCAGAGAATCGTTGTTTAGGGGAAGATCAGGTACATCTCAAATTTAAATCTATTCCCAGATCAAAATAGAACACCACATTTCGAACGGCCTACATAGGTAACCAAAATCCTTTCCAGACGCCCTTGATGAAGCTAAGAGAAAGAATCCAGGAAGTTCGCTGTACGAATGGCACTCCTGGGTTTCTTGATGTAAAGTTAGGCATGTGGTTGGTCTTACGATCACAACTAATAGGCGGTTAGATTTTCTTTAAATGAGAAAGATAGTGTCCATTGGTAGTAGACACCCTTCTCAGGGACTCTACGGAATGTCTGCACAAGCTGGACTCCCTTGGTGCACGGATTTCTTCATTTCCAAACGTGTCGCCATTCAGTGGCGCCTTGACAGAAGTTGAATCATGAGATTCTTCGCAAACACACGAAAATAATCTCAAGAGCAAAACGCTTAATTAGTACCTACTGAAGATCATACCAGTTCCGTTTACATATATCGAGGAAATCTAACTAGGAATGTGATAGGTATGGATGCCTATATAAGATTCCTCTAAAAAAACATGGTTGATTGTAAATGGCTATCGCTTTAGATTTTAAACAAGTGAGGCAATGGAACGATAGTAATTAGTGTCCGGGTTTGTTTGATTTGCCAAGTTAATAACGCTACTGCCAGATGGCGTCAAACAAATAACAGATACGTCACCGGCTTTTCCTCCCTTTGGAATCGAACGAGGTCGGTTGAGGCCGTTCTAGACCGGCTACAATTACCTATACTTGTATACAGAGTTATTGTGATATATGATGTAATAATGTTCGAGACATATGTGACTCTCTGTGCGATAACGAAATTAGTATTGATATCTAGTTGCCTGTTGTCAAGCTTTGTGCTAATGAAGAAAGGCATATGTCACTTACAAGTATTAATAGCTCATTAAAGCAAACATTAAATCGAGAGCGAATTGAACGTGAAATACGTGAATAGTACGGCAAATGCTTTAACCGTTATTCCACCTTTGATTAAGTTATATTCCATAGTTTAGGACATATGAGCTGACCATATGCCTTGGCTATGCGCCATGAGCATCGACAACTATAGAAGAATAGGTCCACCACTCCAAAATAACATTATTGTCAGTTTACTCAAGGAAACATGAATGAGTTTCCTCTGAAATTTAACGTATCCTCAAAAGTTGCTGATAAAAGCGAACACGGAGGGAAAACTTATGGGAATATCGTAGACTAGCCATAACCTGCCCAAATATGTATGGAGTCTGTTGGTGTACAGTATTGTTTAAGGAAACTATTCCCACCATAACCTAATTTAACTGTTTAGTACGTACTTCTCAACTCATCATCATAACATTTTTCAATTATTTTTATATCCGAATATAGATACGCAGTCACTCTTTTCCAATTGTTTTCTTCCACCTTTTGAGTAAGTGCATCATAGATACGTCAAAATTAGTAATTTTTAGTTAAAGAAACGATAGCATCTTGGATATCGAAAGTAGGAACTTTCTTTACCACTTTTAAATATGGGTCTGGACGATCCTCAAGATTAGTAGGTAAAATATGCGCATATGTGGCGATGAAGGATTTGGTAAAGGATTTGTTATTATATCCGGAGTAAAATTTATAAGGGGCATGCCTCATGTGGCTAATGAGGGACATGCCGATATAGGAATTTCCCCATAGATTCCTCATGAAAATCCCACAAAAAAAAAAGTGGTGATACTAAAATGAGGATTGCCTTATGGGTTTTCATATGGGACGTAAGGGGCAAACTTAATTCATGTACAAACTTACAATTAAATCTACCTTATGAGGACTTGATGAGGCTTGAATCTGTTTAAAAATACCCTCGGCAAAATCAAAAAACTTATAAAAAATGATAACAATCCCCTTGCCCAATTATGTCGTCGTTTCAATGAAATCTTTTACATTTGCAACGAACCAACAAGTGTACTTCCTGATATTGTTATTATAACACAACTGAAACACAGTAAAACGATTGCAATTTAAAGTATTATTGACTACAAAAGAGCCCAATAACACGATCTTCCTTAAGACCAAACAAATTTTACAAATAAGTGATATATGTATATATTCCTCCAAATGGAAGTATTGAAATTTGTGGAAAACTACTACGAAACACAAAATCCCTTTATACGTATCCATGCGATGCTAAATATTTAGAAATATACCTATAGTTTCTGCAACCAGTGAAAATATTACTACCTGTAAAATCATAGATGTTGATAAAAAAAAATGGTTTGTTTTAGTGTTAGTCACGAAAGTAGAGAAATAATATGTGTTATACCGTTGTTACATATGTAAAAGTGAACAGTTTCTCATTAGTAATATATATTTCTCATTCAATTTTGTACTTTTTTCATTAATAATAAAGTTTATGTTTCCAAAAATTTCTGACAATGCGCAAATACGACAAGGCATTATATGTCCTATCCTTGCCCTAGGGGACAACCTCATGGGGCCCACAAGGGATAGTGGGCTGCCCACTTAGAGACCCTACCTGTATCCCCCTCAAAATTCAAGTCGGGATCCATTTCATTTAGGTAATAAAAAATGAGAATCATATTACATTATTTTTCACGATAAGATTCGATCTGCTGTTATCAAAAACTTTGAATCTCTTTTCTGTATAATTGATATTGGAAAAACATTTATTTATCTGATTAATTTGGAAAGAATCGCCCAGAATAGCGCCCCAATTGGAAGAATAGTGTCCTCTGACTGCTATTTGTCTTTACCTTAACCTTAATATGTACAAAGAGAATCAAGATGTTAGTCTATTTAGCCGAAATCTACAGCTAATATTTGTCTTGCGGTGATACACAGGTCTCTCCGTCCAAATAGTAATTGGTTTCACGGGAAATTTGGGAAAATCGTGGAGACCTGCTGGGAAACGATATTTGTCGGTAGAAGGGACTGTCAGACTGACCGCATTCTACAAATTTTATGGGCTAGCGCATGTATACGTATCTATATCTATTCGTTTTGCCCATGTTCCAATATCCACAACAAGTCACCTTTCTTCTAAATTGACCATAATGTAAAAATGATAATACAGTTAACGCTGTATTAAGATATTTGATATTATCAAACGAAAATACCTAATCATTTAAAATTGGTCGCTTTAGACGTAGAGAACTAAAAGTGGGATAAAATACCTAAATAGATATTAGTAAAAACGTGACTGCACCAGACGTTAACATACTTGAATAAAGTTGAAAGAAGTTTAACGACTCACAGAGAATGAAATGTGAAACAAGTTTAGGTGAAGAAAAGTAGGGGAATTGGACTAACACGAATAAAAAGGGAGTAGAATATGAGGTGCCTAACTGTTTTAGCATCTTCGCTGTTTCTGTATTATACTTGCATAGGTAAAAAAGTAGACAAAAAATGCATTCTACTTGAATGTGTAGGCCAGGTACCTGTCAATTATAATAACCAGAGTTTTTTTGAGGGACCAGTTGATTTTAAATGATTAGACTGAATCATTGGAATCGTTGCCCCCGGGAGGATAAATGTGAATCAACACTAAAACTACGAAGGAAGTAGTAATTTAAAAATAAATAGATCAGTTAAATTGATATTTGAAAACATAAGCACTGCAGAAGAAGACGAGTTTCTTCCGTCGGAAAGAGATGAACAACTGCAATAATAAATTCCTATTTCAAATCAGATTTCATAAATGATTCGTTTATTTCATGGAGAGTAAGAAAATTTATAAAATCTAGAATCATTTTTATGCAATTTCGTAAGCCACTCAATAAATGCCAGACTTTATACACCTGCTGAATATTTAATAATTAAATAATTGAGATATTTAAATATTCTCATTTTTCAAGTGCATCACTCTAAATTATCTGGATTTTCTGAAAAATTGTCTGCAAATCCATAGACGTTCTAAGGAACCTATGCATGAGATTGCGGTTTAATTTACTGTCTTTCCCTGCTGAATATTTAAAAATTGAGTGATTCAGATATTTAAATATATGCCCATTTTTCAAGTGCATCAATCTAAATTTTTTTGGATTTCTGGAAATCTACAGACCTTCTGAGAAGCCTATGCATGAGATAGCAGTTCAACTTACTTGAATTTAGGCTAAGTCTTTCCCTCCAGGCGATCGGATTGGAAACAAGTCCTTGAAATCCTGGCCNATAATAAAAAAACTTATAGTTTAAAAGTAGTGTATATTAATTAGGTATTGAATAAATTATATTATCATAAAAGGTACTTATATGTATATAATTATTTTGACATAGTACATTGGATATATGTATACAGGTTGTTTGTAGAGACTTACACGAACGAAATTAATGTAATTCATTTTGTTTCAGATGTAGTCGCATTCAAGATTCCGTTTGAGTCAACGTTTCAGCCCTTTTTGACGACAACGATGGAGTTTAAGGTAGGATTTTTTATTCTAGTCTCTTTTTTACAACTGAAATTTTTATTTCCAACAACAACAAAATAAGCGTTTTTACCTAACAAATGACAAAACGGCGAAGGAGTTAGTTTCAAGTAATATAAAGTATTTCCGAAGTTCGACATGAATTTCTCGAGTTACTTGTATTCGTTACATAAATGTGCATACTATAATAACAAAGTTAATCCTTTAAATTGTTTATCGTTAGTTTTTACAAGTACATCTGTGTTCTGAGCGTGGTACCATACTTAAAATTAAACGGATTATATCATTGAATTAACCCATGGAGATTTTGGCTTAAGCTTTAATCGGATAGACCTCATTTAGAGACAGATTGCCGCAAACTGTATTTATTACTATTTGACGCAGAATTAGCATCCCCTTTGAATGCACCAACGGTGGTGAAGACTGTAAGGACGAAGGGGCCGTTCTGAACGTATGACACAAGGGTTGTTCTACTGTCCGAAATTTAAAAGTACAGCTGTTGTCACAACGCCTTTTTTAATGTGTATAAAGAACATTGCCCCAATCAAAATAAGATAATGTAATTCTAAGACATACACCCAACAGCACATACCTAACGTAAAGTTCAGGCTAGTATCCGGGAACTTTCTTTAAGGGTTGACTTAATAATCAAAAAGCAAATAAAAGCTTTCAAAAGCTTTAGGTAGTTTGTTGCATGAAAAATGAGGATTATGAAAAATTATATCTGTTATAAAGAATGTGCTTATTAAATATTATATTTATACGTCAAAACTTTAGGACATTATTTCCTAGGGTTTTCGAAGAATAGTTCGTTCTTTTTCGATTTTAGTTCAGAAAGATGTCATATTTACGGTAAATACAAAGCAAAGCTTACCTAATTTTTGAATTAGTATTTTTGTAAATAATGTACATTTACAACAATTATACTAGTCAGTCTAGTATACAACCAAGGTAGGTACATAAAATGACTGTATTATATAAACTTTGTATACAATTATAGGATATGACAGAGCCCTTAAAAGTGAAGTCAAAAAGTTCAACTAATCTTTTCGCTGGTATCAAACGTACCCATACAACAAAAAATAGACATCGAGAAAGAGAAATTTATCTGCTTATTAATTAGAGTTACTTTGGATTCTTAAAATAGTGTAATTGTTACATAGGTATAACTGTCACAAATTACATTCTGCTACCGTTTCCCGAAAAGTACGACGTACCGCGAAAATAAGTCCCCACCATGATTTTACAGGATGGTTGTAATATAAGCCCGCTTAACATCCAAATCAAAGATATTAAAATGAATTGATAATGAAGGAATAAGCCTGTGTACATGAACCAAGTAAGGCCTTTAATGATTAAATCGAGTAAAAAGTTTTCCTTTTTGGGTGAATGAAGAAAAAGTGAACATTTTAGTAGTAGACAGTAGTCGATTTTTATGACGAAACAAGCAGCTATATGTATATACAGCCGCCAGCGTATCGACAAGAGATCCTATCATAAATACGAAGGGATCTGTTTGTTATAAACAAGTGGCGCCCCCGCGACGGTGCCCAAGCCGCCCTAATTCAATTTGTCAGGAGATTATACGCGCACAGCCGCACACCCTGTCTGGGTGATACATCATAGAACTACAGCGATCCTGTCATTTACGCCAACTAACGTCATATGAGCGACGCCCGTTGTCACCAATGCATCGGCTTCACTAATTTCATTAATAATCTTTCCTATTACTATTCTTCCATTTTACACCCCTGTTCTTACGAATCGTTCAAAATCTAACTATTTTAGATACCAATAATACAAAAAAATCAAATTAGTTTTTTGTTCTCTCCAAATATTATACATTGTAGTGTATTTTTAGAACAGGGGTCGGCAAGTGATTTCAGATGGTCCGGAAATTTTTTAAAATTTTCATCGAGGTCCAAGGAAAAACATATTCCTTACCAATTTTTTATTTTAATTTTCAATCTCAAAACGCCTACAAAGTGTTGCATTGGGATGTACAAAAAGCTCTTAAGTGGATTGCTATATAATATGCCGTGCCGGCCGACCAGGTTGCTTCATTGATAGGGGTAGCACTCAAAGCCCAAACGTATTTTGTTTTCTACAGAAAAATATTTTTTAAACAATTTATTTTAACAGTTTATTAGTACCGGATGATGATGCCGTTTCAATGGTTTTAACTCATCTCTCTGGTTGAAAATTCGGCAAACAAGAATTAAAATTTCATTGGTTTAATGTTTAAACGCCTTTTTGAACGGTACTAAATATGGTTTGGAACGTTAGTGGGGGTTTAAGGTAAACTCGCTAGAACGAAGACATGTACCATTAAACGTAGTGATTTTGCACACAGCTAATGTCGGGTACCCGATTCTTCGGTACCCGGCAAAATCTCTATCCGATGCATCTCTAGCCTCTCAGCGTAAAGCTAATATGGATTAGGATCCGGCCAGGTACCGGATAATGATTCCGTTTCAACGATTTCAACTCATTTCTCTGGTTGAAAATTCGGCAAACAAGAATTAAAATTTCATTGGTTTAAACGTTTAAACGACTTTTTGAAAGGGACTTAATGTGGTACATGTACCCGCTTATTCGGTACCCAGGAAAAGCTCTATCCGGTGCATCTCTAGCCTCTCAGCATAAAGCTTGTTTCTTCAATAGATATGGAATAGGATCCGGTCAGGTACCGGATAATGATACCGTTTCAACGGTTTCAACTCATCCCTCTCATTGAAAATCCGCCAACCAACAATTAAAATTTCATTGGTTTAATGTTTAAAGGACTTTTTGAATAGGACTTAATGTGGTTTGAGACGTTGGAGTTTAATAGAAAGCTCGCCAGAACGAACACATGTACAATTAAACATAGTGGTTTTGCACGCAGCTAATGTCAGGTACCCGCTTATCCGGTACCCAGCAAAAGCTCTATCGGATGCATCTCTAGCCTCTCAGCGTAAGGCATATTTCTTCAGTAGATATGGAATAGGATCCGGTCAGGTACCGGATAGTGATGCCGTTTCAACGGTTTCAACTCAACCCTCTCATTGAAAATCCGCCAACCAACAATTAAATTTTCATTGGTTTAATGTTTAAACGACTTTTTAACAGGACTTGATGTGGTATGAGACGTTGGTGTTTAATAGAAAGCTCGCCAGAACGAAGACATGTACCATTAAACGTAGGGGTTTTGAACAGAGCTTATGTCAGGTACCCGCTTATCCGGTACCCGGCAAAAGCTCTATCCGGTGCATCTCTAGCCTCTCAGCGTAAAGCTTATTCCTTCAGTAGGTATACGAAATGTGCGCAGCTTTCGTAAAATGATCAATTATACTAGAAAGTTTCCTTTACGGTATATATATATATGAAGTAATGTAGAATATTTTTGTGGGTTGTGGTTATGAAAATACCTACTCATAGTTCGTAGTTAGAAACTTCTTTTGGCTTATTTACCTGATAAGGTTTATTATGTCGAACAGGGCCAATAAAAGATATCGTTTTGTGTGTAATAGAATTTTAATGGCGTAGTCGAACCGGAGGCAAAGAAGGTAAAATCGAGTCGTGCTAGGTATTAATTTCTCTCAATTCTCCGGGGTCTTTTAAGCTTCTAGAAATTTAAAATGTCGCGCACCATGGACCGCAAGCTCGTCGTTATAATGGCGGAACTCACTGCTGCTAACTTATTAATTCCCGGGAGAACTTTTTGCTTAGCATTTTTATTTAATCTGAGCGCCGTTTTATTATCATAAAACATTCCGCATTTTTGTAAATTAAATCCTTCCGTCCGCGCTATCCGACGACGTAGAACGACGCCACCGGCTGCATCGGGACGGCGCGGTCGTGCTGCGTCGCATACTTTGATGTCACTAAATAAATAAAACGGGGGTTTTTCAGGCAGTTACTGGGCCGTCGCGGCTCCACTTCATTAACTGAAAGGAGACCTCCGAGATTAGAAAAAGTTCACTTTAACCAAGGAATTTTTAGCCGTCTTGTGCTCCAAATGTCGTTACTTTTTAAATACCTTAAACCGTAATGAGTGTCGTAATTTTTTGTTAGTGCCTTTTGACAAAAGGAAATAGAAAATAAAAAAAAATTGCCTCCTCCTTTATTTAATTTTTCATTCACTTTCATTTCATATTCCTTTTACTTTCAACATAGAGGAGTATCTACACGCGCCTTTTACAAACATTTAAAACTTTTATGTACCTTTACTTGTGACTCCGTCATTCCTAGTGCGTAGGCAAGCTTCGCTCGTTCAGGACCTGCTAAATATTTCGTCTGTTCGAAGGTTTTTTCAAGGGCAAAAATTTGTTGACCAGAAAACGTAGGCCTCGTGTGCTTCTTTTTTGCATCCTTTTCAGGTCCAACACCTCCTAAACTTCCTTGATTCACTGAAACAAAGCAAAAAGCATTATAAAGCTGCGGATATATATATATGTACCTAATAAGTTTTCCGTTGCCAAACGGCTATTTGGTAAATCAATAACTGAAATATTTTGGTCCTTAAAAAGACCCTAGGGAAGTCACCACCCTAACGGTGGACCACAATCGCAACCTGACACATCCCCTGTCTCACTTAGTTAGCTGCGTTAGCACATGGACTATTAGTTTTCATTAGAACCCTCTCACTAAGAAACATTTCATTCCCCAGAAACTAATAATTAATTAAAATAAATTAAACTACACGCACTTGCACATTTATTCAAATATTTATTCATAATTAATGAAGAGATTTGTAAGCATATGTACTTAAGAAGGATAATTGACTATCGATTTTATGACAAACCGTAATAAAAAAGTTTGCTGCATCAAATAAAGGATTGTGGCGGACAGTGTTTTCTTGGTATTTAAATAATATACACCAAAAGACACGAAAGGATAATTACAGTTTCTTTACTATAGACTCAGTCATAGTCCTAAAAGATTCTGAAATTGCCAAGAAGAAAATATTGAAATATGTTTAAAAATTGTTGACTTATATGATGCTTTAGAGTTTAAAGATACTTTTCCGCCATTTGCCATTGTCAGTGCTAGTGACGTCACGCGGAATGACCCTAAAGCGGATGCAATCTC